TTTGTATCCAGAAGGAAGTAGAAGACTGAGCAACGGAGGATGGAGGGGGTCCGGAGGAGAGCAGAAGAAGAAGAAGGAGAAGAAGAGTCCTCTCTCTCTCTCTCTCTCGGTTGATACCAGATACTGACCGCGCTGCAAGGAATATGAGCGAGAGTTGCAAAATCACGTGGTAGTCCAGATAGTCATGTACTAAGCAGAGAGCACAATGCACCAAGAAACATCCAAATAAGAGCAATACAATGAACTTGAGTGCCGATGCCGACGCTCTCTGGTCACGTTAACATTGTCCCCAATGTCGCTCCTACTGTCTTGCGCCCAGCACCCGGCCTACAGTACTCAGTCTATCTATCCTATCTACGTTCATGCAACTGGATCATATCGAAGTTGAAGACCAATGTATGTGACGTCATCACCAATGCCGACCGCCAGCATACACCAGGTACGTTGTCTCTCCTCACCTCATCATACCCTGTCTCCCTCTGCATGCACCTCCTACCCGAAGACCACCATCGCCATCACCCGCTTACCCGCACACTCAGCCCGGCTATGGCTGCCGTGTGCCTGCTGCCACCGCAGCTCACCTCTCACCTCTTAGCACCCAAGTGCGCCCCAGCCTGCCTGCATAGCGCAGTGTCGCATGACAAAGCAGCAGCGTGGCCGCAATGCCTGCTCAGGCCAGAATGCCCTAGCCCTGTGGCACACACTTTCCTTTATGGAAAGTGTGCCTGCTGCTGGCTGGCCTGGCCAGGTGTGTGGGGGGCCCAGTAGCTTGCCTCTGGCCCCAAGTGTCTGCGCCCAGGCCCAGTTTTAGATAGTGGCCTGGGCCTCGTGCAGTTAGGCACGTCCTGGCTGCCACCTAACCTCCAAGCGTTTGCAGCATTCTCATTGGCTCGTGGCTCATGTGTGACGACAATGCTGCTTCCACCTGGGCCCTGGGCTCAACTGTACAGTGCAGCCCTTTGCTTCTGGAAAGAGCCTGGAGGCTCATGTGCTCTGTAACCAACTGGCGTGCTGCAACTGTCTGAGTACCCAGATATGTAAATGTCGAAAACAGGCCTCACGTGGATATTCAGGCCCACCTTCACTTAGGGAAGGCACGGGCTCGCTGGGGCCCACAGCCCAGAACACTTGTAGATCTGATAAGGGCCCCGCTATTGGAGGCCGACCCGCCGCGTTAACGGAAGTTGACTCGACGCGGTCAGCCTCCGCGCCGTGTCAAATCTGCGCCAAGGGCTGTCCGTGGCCATAGTCAACTAGGCCCTAACGCATCGGTTAAATTCCCTAGGGCCGAAACCGCGGAAAAGACGGCGCGGCCGTACAGTCCTCGGGAGACCTGATCGTCCCCTTTGGACTGGATCGTCGTGACCGCAAGGGGCGAATTAGTGGGGCTCGGCCCAAACGACACTTGAAACGGACCAAGGGTTAGTGAGATAATCAACTTTGACCGGTTGGGACCGGACCAATGCGACCACATAACTTGGTCGGAAAAGGAACAGGCCCAAACGACCGCGTAAATGAATAACTGAGCCCTAGCAATAATTAAAGGGGTCACATGCTGTTTTGGGCGCGGACTCTTCATTTCCCAAAGTCGGGCCTGTCCCAGTCCCGTGCTGAAATTGGCACAGTCCCACGATATTTTTAGCGTGGGATTGACTGTTCGTCTACGTGGGACTAGGACTGTCCCAATCCCGTGCTAAAATTAGCACAATCCCGTGCTATTTTTAGCGTGGGACTGACTGTTCGTCTACTTGGGACTGGGCCTGCCCAAGTCCCGTGTTAAATTAGCACAGTCCCATGCTATTTTTAGTGTGGGACTGACTGTTCGTCAACTTGGGACTTAGCACAGTCCCACACTATTTTTAGCATGGGACTGACTGTTCGTCTACTTGAGACTGGGCCTGCCCCAATCCCGTGCTAAAATTAGCACAGTCCCACACTATTCTTAGCGTGGGACTGACTGTTCGTCTACTTGGGACTAGGCCTGTCCCTGTCCCGTGCTAAAATTAGCACAGTCCCACGTTATTTTTAGCATGGGACTGACTGTTCGTCTACTTGGGACTGGGCCTGCCCCAGTCCCGTGCTAACATTAGCACGGTCCCACACTATTTTTAGCGGGGGACTGACTGTTCGTCTACTTGGGATCGGGCCTGCCCCAATCCCGTGCTAAAATTAGCACAGTCCCATGCTATTTTTAGTGTGGGACTGACTGTTCGTCTACTTGGGGGACTGGGCCTGTCCCAAGTAGCCACTGACTCCGCCGTTGCTGCCACCTCAGCCGCCGCTACCACCACTTCCTCCCCCACCATGACCCAATCATCCAGCATTGATATGTCCGGCATCCGCACCGACTCCGTGGACAGCATCGCACCATCGCCCGCAACCTCGCAGGCGAGCAAACACCAGCACCTAATGCGGCCATCGACCTCGTGGCACTTTTCCGCATGATGACATCCCTCCAGTCATCCATGAGCGACATCAAAACATTCGTCTCCGCCGTCTCTGCTCACGTGACCACCATTGAAAGTCACACCCCGCCATCCAGGTCATCACCACGACATCCCCCTCCCCCACCTCGGGTGCCA